TTAAGAAGATAAAAATTCTAACATCAAAGAAAACATTACTATTTTTTCTTTCTTTCTTTTTTTTTTCTGAGGCAGGGTCTTGCTTGTCACGCAAACTAAGTGCAGTGGCATCATCGCAGCTCACTGCAACCTTCCCTCCCCCGTGCTCTAGCATTCTTCCCACCTCAGCCCACCGAGTTGCTGGGACTACAGGCACGTACCACCATGCCGGGTTATTTTTTTTCATTCTAATTTTTTGTAGAGACAGGGTCTCCCATGTTGCCCAGGCTGGTCTTGAACTCCTGGACTCAAGCAGTTCTCTCAGTGCAGCCCCCCAAAGTGCTGGGAAAAATCATTACTACTAACATCTCCCATATTTTGCAAGTCATTCATTTTTTTCAAAACAAAATTCTATCCTGCATATTATTGTATAAACTGCAATATTTTAGCAAAGATTAATTGAGAACATTTTAAATGTTTCATTCTGTGTTCTTCTATAAGAACCTTTTTGGGGGCGCTTTGGGTATTCTGTGATTTAGGTTGTTTTTTGTTTATCTTCACTACAAAGAACAGTTCTGTCTTTAATTGTATTTTATTTATTTATTTATTTATTTTTAAGGACAGGGTTTCACCATGTTGGTCAGGCTGGTCTGGAACTCCCGACCTCAGGTGATCCGCCCGCCTTGGCCTCCAAAGTGCTTGGATTACAGGCATGAACCACCACGCCCGGCCCTTGTCTTGAATTTTAAAAGATCCCTGCTTGAGTAGTTGAAGCTAAGATCTGGCCCTATGGAAGGCGGGCCTTTGGGTTGAAGAAGTGACGGATACCCACTCTGGTCTAGTCCGACTAACTAGGTTAACTATTTGCTGCAAAACGGCAATCATAAGCCTTTCATATCCCCAGAGGTTCTCAAACATGTGTTGAACGATGTGGAAGGAAAGCTGTGGGGCCTCTTGAGTGTGGGAGGCTGTTCTCTTTTCCTTACTACAAAAATGGAATCTTAGCTTTTCTTCCTGTTCTTTCTCCATGCTCTCTCCTCCCTACCTTTGCTCCAAATTGATGTCCAAAGCTCTAGTTTACCAGGTCTTAGCCTAATGAGAGAGCAGGTGGTGCTTTTTGCCCCTTAGTAATCACGGCCATATCCGTAATCACAGCTAAGCACTCCTCCAACCCAAAGCGTCACACAGTTCCAGCCGACCGATGCTTTGAGTAGAGATAAAGCAGTTCTTAGGTTTGTGAAATGTCAGAGCCATAAGTGACCACAAAGATGATCTAGTCTCTTGTTTCCCTCTCCCATGTTATAGAAAGACAATGATTTCACCCACGTCATTGGGCTGGTGGCTGGGCAGGAAAGAGGAATGAGGGGTGGTGCCAGGAGCCACGTGATGGAATGTTTAGTTAGAGTGTCTTTGGGCACAGACTGCCTGGGTCAGACCTGAATGCACCACTTCTGAGCTGTGTGACCTTGGGCAAGTTATTTAAAATCCCCATTTCAGCGTCCTTATCTATAAGGTAGGAATGGTATCATAATACCTACTTCATAGGATTGTTGTAAATGGGATACCAGATGAGAAGGGCTTCACACATAATTCTTCAGTAAATGTTAGCTATCATTGTTATTTCTAAATCATAATTATTATTATTTTTGACATGGAGTCTCGCTCTGTCACCCAGGCTGGAGGGCAGTGGTGCGATCTCTGCTTACTGCAACCTCCGCCTCCCGGGTTCAAGTGATTCCCCTGCTTCAGCCTCCCAAGTAGCTGGGACTCCAGGTGCACGGCACCACACCTGGCTAATTTTTGTACTTTTAGTAGAGACGGGGTTTCACCATGTTAGCCAGGATGGTCTCGATCTGCTGACCTTGTGATCCACCCTCCTTGGCCTTCCAAAGTGCTGGTATTACAGGCATGGGCCATGGCGCCCAGTTAGCTGTCATGGTTATGACAAAGGTTGTTTTGGCAGTCGTACTGACTGCCAGTCCAAGACGGAATCCTCTAGACCTGATGCTTGTGTTGGAAAACACAATTCTTTAGGAAAACATAATTCTTTTGGACAAAGGTCATTTCAGTGTGAATGGTGTCTTTACCAGCAGCTGACAGAAGAATCGCTCTTCAAATGGAGGCTACTCTAAGTAGATTTGCGTTTGGGACGCCCCCAGATTCACTTGCTCCCTCTGGTCGTCTCCTGCTAACCACCAGTCCAGTAGCACTTGTGTGCAGAGAGTGAAACATACTGCTTGTGGTCTGAGACAGAAATGTAACCACAGCGCCAAAGAAAATTAACAACGTGGCACAACCTGAGCACTCTTTTCATGGGACAGGGATGTACCAGACTTAGAGAGATGCTAGCTCAGAGGGGTCACTTTTCTTCTTGACAGACCCCTCAGCTAATACCAGTCATCCCATCAAATCTCTTTTCTCTTACATGTTTAACTTAAATTTTTCTTGGAATTAAAAACATTTAGGATTTTAAAAAATATTGATTTTAGTTATGAAGGCCTATATTCCTTGTTGTATGAAGAAAGAAATCTCAGTAAGTTTATATGTGTATATTTAAATAAATGTGTGTATATATTATATATAGATATCTTTAAATAAAAATACATACTTAAACAAAAAATATAAATATATAATTAAATAAAAATATAAATATACATTTAAGTAAAAAACAAATATATATAAATAAAAATGTAACTATAAGTAAAAGATATAAAAATATACTTAAATAAATATACTGATTAATTATATTAAATTAAATTTATTAAATCAAATAACTTGAATTAATGATTTAGTAGATTAAATAGCAAATATTTTGAATAATATATTTAGGTAAATAGAATCACACAGGCTAAATTATTTACTGAAATATATTTACCTAAATATATCTATTTTTGTAAATATATAAATGTATATATTTTTAAGCAATCCAGCTTTTGTTGATTTCAATTTTAGGCTTTATTACCAAGTTGATCTGTTAGATGACGATGCCTGCTTCCCGGATGCACCCACCTTGAGGACAAGGACAACAGCCCATCTGGGAGGAGGCAAGGAAGTTGGGCCAGGAGGATCGGAGCGAGAAACCCTCACAGAGCTGGGTAGGAACCAACAACGCCTTTCTTTTGCGTAGATTCTGACGAGCCTTTTCTTCTTTTACAGGACTTGGAAAATATTTCTGATTACTTAAGAAACATGTTTTTATCCTTAGAAACATTTTAGAGTGAAAACTGGTCTAATATCTCAGCCCATTCCAGGTGCTTTGAGTTGAGTGTAGTGTGGTATGTATGAGGCCACGGACGTGAGTGTAATAAGCACTGAGGCTGGGACAGAGATGCTGTCCAAATTTAAATCATTCATTTTCTTTTCTTTTCTTCCTTTTCTTCTTCTTCTTCTTTTTTTTTTTTTTTTGACAAAGTTTCACTCTTGTCACCCAGGCTGGAGTGCAAATAGCATAATCTTGGCTCACAGCAACCTCCATGTCCTGGGTTCAAGTGATTCTCCTGCCTCAGCCTCCTGAATAGCTGGGATTACAGGTGTGCGTCATCAAGCCTGGCTAATTTTGGTATTTTAAGTAGAGATGGGGTTTCACTCATGTTGGCCAGGCTGGTCTCGAAGTCCTGACCTTAAGTGATCCACCCTCCTCAGCCTCCCAAAGTGCTGGATGATAGGCGTGAATGGGCCCAGCCCATTCATCTTATTTTCTTTCCCCCTCCTCTTCCTCTTCTTCTTTAGTGAAATCACCTTATATGAAATGAAATACAAAACTACCAAGCCTGCCTTTTCCCACACAAAACAATAAAATTTGATGATTAAATGAACTCACGTAGTGAATTACTTCTTGCTCAATTAATTACAAGGCTTTGACTTAAAATACTTTTTGATGTTTTCTTATTAAATTCCAGAGGAGAGATTTCTTCTGTACTTCTAATGTGATTCTGCACATATATTCAGAAAAACCTCAGGTTGTAATTGACGTTTTTTTCACTCTCAGTATCTGGCCAGGTGGTGGCCTAAGCCTTAATTAGCCCTGGTTGATATTTAGTCCCGGCTAAATTTGTTTGCTCCTCATCCCTAGGAATAAGTCACGTGGTTGTAGAATGGATATTTCATCTTGTAGGAAATACCTGTGAATACCCCAGTATCCCAGAGTGGGTGAAACGGTCAATCAGGATCCCTGCTCCACTTTACGAAAAGAAAGGAAAGGAAAAGGTCCCTTCACCAGTATAAATTGATTTGCTGCAAAAAATGCAATGGGGCACCAGAATAAAGAGCCACCCTTTCCCTGTTTCGGCCCCATGCAGGTCTCACCACGCTGAGGTGGGTAGAGATGCTTACGCACTCACACACACAGGTCTGGAGCCAAGGTCAGGGCTAGCTTTAGTGAACTGTACACATGTGCTGTGGGCAGCTGCTGAATTGATATGTACAGCCGTGGTGTGTACACACACCTGGAGAGGCACACTGCTCTGGGAATCACACAGGCTCTCCTGAACAATGATGCTCTTGGAATATTGCTTTTTGTTTTATTTGTCCAAAGTCAAACATTCTCTCTGTTAGATCACCAGTGTCTTATAAGCTGGTGTTGGCCCACACTGCTGCAGGATTCGGACAAAGAGATGATGTTACAGTCTGGTTTCTATGGCAACAGAGGAGGGGTAATGAAAACTGAAATGTTGGAAACACCCATTCTAACCATTGTGACATAATTCAGGTTATTACAAGGACGTAACCACCGAAGAAGCAGACATGTCATTACCTTGCAGCTCATGTCGACGAAAAAACTACACTGCACATTTCTCTTAGTTGGGCTGCTAAGAGGAAGGAAACATGAAACACACACACACACACACACACACACACACACACACACACACACACGCCTCGTTTTCTGCATGTAAAATGTGTGTGTTCTTTAAAAGCCAGTGGTTGGCTGGTTTTCCGGACATGATGTGGTTGAAGCTGTCATCGTAATGGAAATTCATTGCTGTAGCTATGGTAAATCGAGTTTTCTGCCTGTGCTGAATGCATTAGTCTAATGAGATGTTTGCAGCTGGAGCGCAGGGCTGCTGGAGAACTAACTGTGAGCTACTAACACGGGTGGAAGATAGCTTTTGCAATACTCGGTTTGCATGTGCCGAAAGTCATCTGTCTTCTGAGTCAACCCTCCCGACCTGGTAAACAAGCTGCTCAGGGCTCTGGTGAACAAGCTGTAGGTAAGGGAGACGCACAATTGGAGGCGTGCCGTTGACACGGGATCTTTCTCTTGTAACTGTCAGCACGACAGGCTACCTGTTTTAGTTTTTCTGGGTTGCATGCCTACCTCGAGGGCAATGCACAAGAGTGTCCTGCACTAAAACCACAGTGTCCAGTAGGTAAACTTGAGTTCCTTATATGCAAAGTATAGCATTTGGTTTCTTAACCAGAACTCACAGGGGGAAATGTAACATTGAATTATATAGTTTATAAATCTGGGCTGTATACATGTTCATTACTCTTTAACTCTGCATTTCAATAGCTAGAAAGTGATTTTTTTCCAAATGGGAACTCAAGGAACAGCTTAGTTATTTTTTTTCCCTCCACGATAATTTTGCTTTGTTTTGCTTTTTAATTTTAAAAACAACTGTAGTATTTCTTGGGATAAAAATATTGACCTAAAATTTGGTTATTAAAATTGGTATGTTAGGAACATGTAAAAGTGTTTTCTTTTTTTCAATTTAATTTTATTTCAAATACCTCAGTTAGAATATTTCACATGTCTTTGTGCTGGATTTTCCTAATTTATGAGGCATAATTAAGAACGATATTTATTGGTGGTTTCTGGTTTTCGTTCATTTTTGGGGAAAAAGCTGGTGACTATGGAGTATTAGCAGCAGTTTTCCTAAGCTCAAAATCACCTCCTTCCTAGCTGGAGCACTGTGACTTGAACCAGCTTCCAAGTGCTCCTCCCAAAGCACGAGTGGTCCTCTCCAGGTTGCTTGCTGGCTGGACGGGAGCTGGACAGGTGGGTAAGGCAGGGTGCTGGCTGGACAGGAGCGGTGGGTGAGGCCGGGGTGCAGGCTGCTGAGTTGTTTTGCTGAGTTGAAGTGCTTGAGTCAAAGTTCGTTGCACTCTCTGTGATCGTGAACGAGAGGCGTCTCCACGTGTTGTCTCTAGATTCCATGACCGTACTCACGAGGGTTAGACAATCAGTGGCTTTCTGAGAAAGTGGATTTTTTACTGATCTCAGACACTACAGTACTTAGAAAGTAATTCAGGCTCTTCAGAATCGGTCTGTTTGTCGTATGCTGTTTTTCTTTCTTTTCAACCAGAGGAACCATTTTTGAAGAGTGAGGGATATAGCTGTTTTTTATCTCCGCTTTTTTTTTTTTTTTTAAAGCAAAATAGAATATCTGGAGTGAAAGTATAAAACAATATAAAAATAACTATAAAGGAATTCTTAGTGTGGTAAACTATCTGGGGGGTATAATATTTGTGTGTAGCATTTTTTTGTGTTATTTGGTAGAACTAGTCTGAAAAAACGAGGGGCTATTCGAGCAACAGCAGCTGGGTGAAGATTACCTAGAAAATCGGTACTGCGTGATCGTCTAAGCTCAAATAAAAGGTTAGTGCACAGTCTTCACTTTTAGGGAAGTTGGTGGCTTCAAAATCTTTACCTTTAAACGAGCTTTTTGAGAGATGTTTTTAAAACTATGAACGTGTTTTCTTTAGCTCTTTAAATTGTGTATGCAGATGAGTGCTGTAAATTTTTGGTAAATTCATCAGTTTACTTCATTTGTGGAATTAAAACGAAAGTGCAAATCTCACAAAAATCCAGTTCTTTCAAGTTTAACATGTTTACATTTCTTCCCTGTGACACTAAAATTACTTTTATTTTGCTGCAAAAAAAAAAAAAAAAGAAAAGTAAATGAACAGTAATAGACAAGAAAACAATAAGAGAAACAAGAGTAAGTTGCTTTTCATCATTTCTTTGCTTTTGGTGGTGTGTTTTCGAGGCGAGGGAAACCAGCGGAAGCAGTTTCACTTTCTGGTTCTTGTCTCCTGGGGGCAAGGGTGAAAGGCTGTCTCCTCTAGCAAGCAGCAGGTAAGCTAAGCAGCTCAGCCCACAGAAAACAAGCCAGACCCACAGACTGTCACTTGCTGCAAGAACTTGTATAATCAGAGTTCAGAACAATAGCGACTTTAAAAAATATTCCGTAACATTTTCCTATTAAAAAAATTCCAGCACTACCCCAAAGTACAAAGATAGAATTTTTTAAATTTCAAAAATTTGAAATGAGAAAATCATCTCTGTTGTTGATGTATATATATATTTTTAATCTTAATGTTTGACCACAGATACTTCATTTCAATACGTTTAGGGAACGTAATACACTTTCCTGAAATCATAACAAGGAATGCTCAGAGAGAAATAACCTTTATGGGAATCTGGGCCTTAAATGTTAGAGTGCTTCATAGGTCTGTTTACAATTTTGTGTGGCCCTAGGACGTATTACGCACTCGTCCATACATCCTTTATGACACGCACCTTAGCGAACTTTCGGTCCAGGCAGAGGTGGTGGCTGGAGCTTGAAAGGCACTCACAGGGGCCCTGTTAAGGATCTGCAGGACAATTTTCTTCCCCAAGTCTGTGCCCTTGGAAGCCTCAATATCCCATGGGTAGATGGCAGGGAGCCGGGAGGTGTCCATCCCACTCCACAAGTCCTGAAGAAAGTGGCAGGCGACGCTACCCCTCATTGGGCTGGGAGCTTCAGGATGCCAAGCACCTCCCTGGTCATTCTTCCCCTGAGCCCTCAGATTTTATTTGGGGATGGAATGGGAAAGATGGGAAAGGAGATGAGAAAAGACCCTCTTTAAATCGAATTATCATGGCGCATAAAATCTTGTCTAACATTTTGGGGATGAAGTTTGTGAAAGCAGTTGCCTTTGGTGTGATCACACAAGCTTCTTTATTTTGGTGGGCAAATTTGACATTTCTAAGAAGGAACTTTTAAAAAAATGCTTCCCTGGACATCTTATTTCTTAATTCTGCAATCTCCCAAAAGGCTAGTTCGAGCTTTACACATTTTTTTAATGTTTTCACTGCCTTCAAAAGCAGACAGGTGAGGAGAGACGAAGGGGATTATAAATAGCCCCTGGGAGAGACATTAAATGGCTTGGTACTGATATAATGTAACAGAAGCCACCAAGGTGTCTAGTAAATTACTCTAAATTTTAATTAATGAGTCACAAAAGCCACACCACAAGCTTAAAAAATTACCCTTTTATCAATAAGGTGATAATTAACTTTCTCTGGAATTAGCAGTTCACTCAGCCCCCGGGGCAGTATGCAGCCTACTAAGTTCTCTGGAATGCTGCCAATTTTTAACAATTGGTCTTTTGGCAAATCTGCTGAATTTAAATTCAAACATCTATTGTGACATTTTCCAACATGATCCACGGACCATTAGGATCACCTAATTCATGGTAAAATTTCTGAGGTCAAAAGAGTAACTTGGAATCTGGGAATTGCATTTGAATGTCACTTTCTCTTTCTTCATTGTTTTTTTCTTTTCTACCTTTCCCCACCCCAAATGTTTGCATTTGCAAGAGCGCAGTACTCCAGTCTCTGCTATAAATCTCTAATACAGTCTCTGCCGTAAATCGCCGTGGCGAACCCCGTGTTCGTTGTTACGCCCATACCAAATTCGAGCGCTTTGGCTGCCAGTCCGTGGGTTCTCAGAGTTTTTCATTGTTGTTGCACTCACCTTGGCTTCACTTCTGGCAAGGGTTTACTCCTTCATGTTTCTGCAAACTCTCACCTGTGGTTTGTCAAATGCTGAGCTTTCGATTGAGACTTGAAGAGATGCTTTGGGCGAGAGGGCATCATTTTGGTTGTGCTTACAGAGGTTTGGAATTTAGCTGCTTCTGATCTGCATATATGAATGTCTGAAAAGGCACAGGAGCATTCAGCATTGCAGAGCAGCCTGGCCCCCAACAGCCCTTCACACATACACACACACCTCCCAGTGCGGCTGCTCATTAGTGAGTGGCATTCAGGGACAGCTTCAGGAGGGACGCTTCTATTTGGGCAAAGCAGCTGGAAGGCAAGTGGTGATGGACGTAGAACATCCCTTCAAAAGTCAGCCTTCTCTCTTCCTTCTGAATCTTTCAGATGTCAGCATTGCTGGGTTCCTGCTTCTCTCAGCCAAGAGACATGGCCAGGGCTGGATACCGGTGATAAGGCTTCCTGCTGGGTTAAGCAGGCAGTTCTGACACAGACAAGAACGTCCCTGCCTTCAGGTGGGGTGGAGACCAGCAGCAAGCCACAATTGTGCATTCTGGAATAAATCAGCACTTAGCAATCAGAAGCCCTTTGCTTCCATGAAGAAGATAACACACCTTACTTCTTGGAATGATGATTTCTTAGGCTACTATTTTAGGACAGAAAGGCATTTATTTCCCAGGGGCAGTTCTCACTTTGTATTAAGCTGAAAAGTCATTCCACTGAGTCCATTTGACACTCTGAAGTAATGGAAGTAGATTTTGAGATCCACATTGCGTGTTTCCCAGAGATGACTGTTACTATACCAGTTTTACCAGTTGTGCTTTAGTCCAGTGATAAGAAACTTTATTAACTCCTCTTTACTCTGCCACCAACTCAGACACATGCTACCTACATTTTCATTTGTCGGGGGAGGCAGATGTGCTTTTTAATTTTTTTTTAAGCAGTTGCATTTATTAATCAGATAAATGCAACCCAGCATTGCTGATTTTCAAGAATGATTGCACATTCCTGCAGCCAGGCTGTCTTAGCCTTTTGAGAAATGGGTTTGGCTGAGGAGCGTTCTGACTTTCTCCAGAAGACACACAAGACGGAGGAGGAGTGGAGCTGGCTGTTATGAGAAAATCAATATGCCAGGAACAAATAATGTCAACACTGTGCTTTGAAAGGCGGTGACGTTGTCTGCCTAGCCCTGCTGTGGTGGAAAGGTGGTGCTGCTGTCTGCTTCGTCCTGCGATAGGGACTCAACTTTGGGAGCTGAATATTTGGTAACAAAAGCCCTTGCCCTTTTCCTCTCCCTGTGTTGATCATTATAGAGAAGGCTTCATTGTTTCACAACAGAAGCATATGGCCTGAAAGTAATCCTAAAGAAATGTGCAGCCTCCCATGAAGACTGCTCAACCTGGGAACCAGTGCTGAGCTGGACAATGCAAAGAACTGCTCTGACTGTGT